CTATCTGTAAAATCGCCTAATATTCTGAGTTTAACAACCAACTCTTTTGAAACCATCAGGGAATACAAAAATACCTCTCAAAAATATGAACATGTGGCTCCTTTACAATCACCCTTGAGGAAGCTGTTGCAGACTCCCAAGCCCCTGTCCACACTACATACCTCTCCAATGATGGGTTAAAAGGCTATGAACACCTGGAAATTCTGCTTGCTTTTCCTCACTTACATATCCGTGAGCCTGTAGCCCACTCCACATTGGACTTCAGTCACAAATCAGAACCATTTGTCCATCATGATTATGAGGACACACATGGCAGTGCAGAGTTATCATGAAAGGGGGACATCTTTTATATCTACTGTGTGACACTTGTTCCATAAGGACTGGCAGACTGCTATCCGAAGTCGACAAAATTCAAGGACATCCCAATAAAACATGAATTTGCCAAATTGAAATTGAAATCCGAGAACTGAATTATCAAACGACTTTGGAGCACGAATGTTGCAGGTGTGATTTGAAAATTACATTCCTAAATAGCAGCATTGGATTGGATACTTCCAGAATGCAAAGCCATGTTTCAAAGGGAGCAGGGGTTCAGGAGTGTGGGATTCCGAAACCCATACACCTCCAACTAGTTGCTTCTTTAGCTCCCCGATTTTTCTCACAAAATGTACTTTATGAATCAAACATGTCAACAAATTCATTCCAAAAACATTTCAATTCAAAAATGACAGGATTTGCAAGAAAATTAAATATGTATGATTTGTAACAGCCTTCATACCTAGCAAACTATGTTTCATGTCTGAAATGTAGCTCAAGGGCAAAACATTACAAAAGTGCAATAGATATAAAATTCTTGTGACACCATGTTTCACTCTGCAGTGCCTCAATATATCTTCAACACTCTTTTGAGTTACAATGTACATTCTCTGCCAGGTACAATGCCCAAGAGATGTTACAGTTCACAGCTCCTCAGTGAGCTATGGCTGAAAGGACCTATTCACCAGTGAATCTCTGCAGTGGTTGCCCCAAGCTTTAGAGCATCCCTCAGCATTATTTGACTTTGCAAAGTGCCAGTCAACACCAAGACAGTGGGCTGAAAGACCAGCAGGTTTCAGGCAAACCAAAGAACATCTTTCCCTGAACGGATAGTCCTTCCAGCACAGTTGATGTTTGTCTCAGTGAGCATCCCTGGGAACAGCCACAGAGCCCTGGGTCACAGAGCTACTCAGGACGAACTATGATAAAAACCATTACATCTCTCCCCTGTCCTTCTTCCCAAAGGTACACTCCACAAAGAGGTGGTCAATAGTCTCTTGCCCACTGGAGCTACCTTGAGGGCAACGCGTCGAGAATTGCAGGAGGGATCTGACAGGAAGGACCATTCTCACCACCAGCCAAGCTAGACATCAGTGCTTCTTTGTAAGTTCTGACGATGAGGCATTCTGCTGAATGACGTTGATTGTCCGCTCAGGGAACCATCCGAAAGAAATTTTTTCGCCACAGGGCCTTGAGGACATTGGGTGCTGACCATGGCCTGACTGCATAAACCATGAGGGACAGGTAGCAGTGTGGCCAGACCCATCCTTCACTACTCTGAAGAATGGTTGAATCTCACAACATAGTGAGATTTGGTGCCTGTGCACAACTTGATGCAGCACACACAAAGTGGTCATCAGAATGAGACCAATGTTGGGTATGTGCTTCCCCTCTTTACTTATTGTGTCACTGTGAAAATGATCTGCTTTCGACCTCCAGATAAACTGGAAGAAGCTAAGGTGATTGCCATGGTGTAGGAGTGGGGAATGGGTCAGACCAACACTATGCCCAGCAACACTGAGATTGCCTCCTTGCAGATTTTAGCACACAGCCCAGACCTTTCGAATTATATCCTCAACATTATTGGTTGATCTGACCGGTTGGAGAAGGGGAAAATGTTTTCTGAGCCCATGTCCTAAAGCTAGTGGCCTCACTCTTTCCCTTGGCTCCCGAGGCCAGATTCAACTGGTCGCAGATGCTATGCAGACTCTGCACCGACAGCAGAAAGAGGTTAATGTTGTCCATGTGGAGGGAGCACTTGACCTGAGAACCTCCACTCCCTGGGATTGTTATCCCTCTTATGCTCATGTATGTCCTGAGGAATTTGGCAAAAAATGTTCTAGACTCTACGCAAACAAACAAACACAAACCAAACAAACAGGGGAAAGATGGCAACTGTGTCTGACTCTAGATTTGATCAGAAAACATTCTGATTCGCACCCATTGCTTGAAAATATGCAACACCAGAATTTTTTTCCAATCCTGACTGCTTGGACCATCTTGAAAACCATTGCTGGGGAGTTTTAAATCACAGCACACTCTGCTACTAAGGATCTCATCGCTTTGACTGAACTGGTTTCTGTAATCAGAAAACACATGAGCGATAATCTACGAGATAGTAGGAACTGCAGATGCTGGAATCTGAGATAACAAGGTGTAGAGCTGAATGAACACAGCAGGCCAGGCAGCATCAGAGGAGCAGGAAAGCTGACATTTCAGGCCTGGCCTGCTGTGTTCATCCAGCTCTACACCTTGTTATATTAGCGATAATCTACTTGGGGGTGACATTTGCTAATCATGTAGTTAAAAGTATGTGATCTGTTTTGGAAATGCTGTCTTTGGCTCACTGTTCTGATTGACGATCCTTCTAAGCTGTGTGGCTTTTCAGATAGATTGAGGATCTGCATAGGTATACCAATGCCATTCCCAGCGTTGACCCTTGGTTTTGGGAGTTGCTGTCACATTAGATCTCAAGAGAACTGCAGATCAGAAAATTAGACAGAACGTAGCTTCTGACCTCTTAGAAAAAAAGTCAGATCTCCACAGAACTGAAAGGTAAAATCCATTTTACCTCCACTTTAGAACTTAAACTCTCAAACAATCACAATATATTGGAAAATCTCATCAAAGGCACTTCCGTCTCTTCCCTGCTTTCAGTCGGTTCCCAACCCTGCAAATTAGGTGTCATCATAACCATCGGGCCACTTGTGTGTTATATATTTCAAAATAGCTCTGTGGCACCGATGCTAAAGTGGGGCAGAACAGAATCCGGAGCCCAGAAATTATCTCAGCATCAGATTTCATGATTTTGAAAATCCAGCCCAAGGTCAGTTCCTCAGCACTGTTGGTACAGCAGACTCAGAGCTTTCTTTCAGCTGTGTGAGAGAAATTTGTCTTTCCGTGATGAAGATTAAAGTACAATTCTGGTCCCACAGACATAAAGATGGTGTTGCTTCAGGCACACTGCATGTGTACTGTGTATGGCAGAGACTGTTTGATTGTAAACTTCCTCAGAACTGGTCCACTACTGTAGCTTTGCAGCAAATGAACAATGTTCCAGCAGAAATAAAGAGACGAACAGGAACAGCATGGAGAAAGTCAGGTCATGTATCACCAGTAACCCTAATTGAGAACACTGGAAAGCTAATTGATTTTAATGAGTGAACACTAGAGATATTTGCATGATATCTTGAAGTTCATTAATTGGGAAAAGTAGAATCTTCACAGTAAAACTGGTAAGCACTCTAGGGAAAGTAATAAAAAGAGGCATGTCGTATGAAGGCATTAAACCTTTGCTTATAGCAATCTCTTAGCTTTGCTTAGCCTTTCTTTACAGTGAATAATTAACTGGATTCTGAAAACCAAAGTTGATTGGTTCAAGAATGGGAAGAATGGCACTGAAAAAAAACGTCGTTTGCTAGAGAGCTTCGAATAAATATTTTTAGACCTTCGCAGAAAAAGAAGCAATCAGCTCAATTAGCATGTAATAAATACATTCAGAGATAGTAGGAACTGCAGGTGCTGGAGAATCTGAGATAACAGGGTGTAGAGCTGGATGAACACAGCAGGCCAAGCAGCATCAGAGGAGCAGGAAGGCTGACGTTTCGGGCCTAGACCGTTCTTCAGAA